CTCACTCACTCACTCAGTCCATCTAACTGTCTGTCTGTCTCTCTCTCCCATTCAGTCCACCTAACTGTCTGTCTGCCTGTCTCTCTCTCCCACTCACTCAGTTCATCTAACTGTCTGTCTGTCTCTCTCTCTCACTCACTCAGTCCATCTAACTGTCTGTCTGCCTATCTCTCTCTCCTCACTCAGTCCATCTAACTGTCTGCCTGCCTGTCTCACTCTGTCTCTCTATCCTCTCTGTCTATTTTTCTGTCTGTCTGTCTCTCCCTCTCTGTGTCTCTCTCTATCATACAGTCATTCAGGTCTTAGATATTTTTAGAGGACTTTTCCCCTCCCCCCCCCCCCCCTCCCCCCATTTCAAATTAAAAGCCCACAGAATGAATTCTAACTGGAATGCTTGTGATGAAGCCTCTCATTTTAGTGTCAAACATTATGATTCTGTCTCCCCTCCCCCTCTCTCACCCACCCAGTCCCACCTTTTCAAAATAAAAGCCCCACAAATACAAGATTCAATCCAAGAGTATGAATCTAAAATGCAGAAAAGAGAGTAGCGCTATCTCAATTGAACCTGAATGACACTACCGGTAACATTGGCGTGTGTATATATTGCGACTTCTTCGGGCAGTAGAAGCCACACAGAATAATCAGCTTTATCCAAAAGTTTTGCGCGCTTCTCCACAGTGTTGCCAACAGCGGCGTGAAAAATACATCAAAACGTGCGGCCTGATCGGGAATAGTGTGCTATCTATTTTTTGGAGAGATTCGCCAAGCGGTTTTCCCGAAAATCCCTAAAAAACTGAGCAAAATTTCTCCATTCACTTGAATGGGGTTTCGGCGTGAAGAGAGCTAAAAAAACACTTAACTTTGGGCCCATATTGACTAGCCGTACATTAACGTAGAAACATGATTCAAAGTTTAAAACATAGACAAAACGCTGCACTTTATTGAGCCAAATGGACATTTTGATAGCTAGCACAGTTTTCATGAAGTCACAGATTAAGTTTCAGGAATATTTTGGGTCAGTTTCAGATTTTATAATGGGTGTGTATTGCACGGCTGGTTAAGAGCTAGAGTGAGAGCATAACTGTCAGTGGAGCAGGAAAATATTCTGTCATTTTTCCAAACAAATTGCACCAGCTCCCACAATTTTTACTCTTTATTCACCATTTTTGGCCAAAAAGCTTGGAAGTGTTGTGCTGGTCGCAGTAAAGTGTCTGTAGAATCCAACGGACTTACACATTTGGCTCAAAGAGCCGCAGAGCGACATGAACTCCAACCAACTGCTCCATTAGACTCCATGTTAAATCTCACCACTCATTTCTCAAAGAAAGCAGACGGTACCAGTTGTGTCTATTGCTCTGGAGCTCACATTATTAACACCACAAACATAAAAAACACATCAGCGCGTTTGGCAGAGTCTTATCTTTCTCACGGTATCCATATTTTGGCACTCAGACTTTTTGTTAAAAGGAGGCAGGAGTTTTGTTCAAAATCACTGCTCTCTCGCTCTCGCTCTCTCTCGCACAGGTTTTAGATATATTTAGAGAAACCCCCTTCCCTCCCATTTCAAAATAAAAGCTCCAGAGAATGAATTCTAACTGGAATGCTTGTGCTGAAGTCTATCATTTAATAACCTCTGTGTTTGTGTGTCAAACATTATAAATATGTTTCCTCTCCCGCTCTGTCACACCCTTTCAAAATAAAAGCCTCATAGAGTAACTGTATGAAGCTCAGAATGAGGTTTGTACAGAAATGATGGGAGTGTTAGCTCCCATCATTTCCAAAGGCTTCTCAAACAAAGATGTACATGTCCAGTACAGAAATGACGGGAGCCATTTGTGGACTGTCAATCACGAATACAAGATTCAATTCCAAGAGTAAAGTGTCTGTGGAATCCAATGGACTTACACATTTGGCTCAAAGACTCCAATCAACTCCAACCAACTGCTCCATTAGACTCCATGTTAAATCTGAGCACTAATTTGCAAAGAAAGCAGACGGTACCAGTTTTGTATTTTGCTCTGAAGTTCACATTTTTGCAGTGGCGGGCCGTGCATTTTCTACCTGGGCCTTCTGTGCTGTCTTACTACAGTTGAACCACCACAGCTACGGTTATTCTTTGTTCCGTGTAAACACCTCATATTCACAGAACACTGCAACATTTGACAAGTGAAATAAAATGTTACATGAAGCTCAACACCTACAAATACACTAACTGCAGAGTGCAGATGCATGAATACGCGCATGACGGGATGCTTCGTCATTAACGGACAATGCATGTAGTAAAATCAATGTAATGAACAAACTCACAAGAACCAGTCACATTTATTTACAACAAAGCATGTCAAAACAATCCATCACAACTGCGGCACTAAACACCTCACACTCAAGAGCACGGGCCATTCTAATATTATTTACATCAGAGGGAACAATATTAACTATATAATAAAAACAACACGATAGACAAATGAACACAACGCTACTGCAGATGTAAAAAAACAAAAGCAGTTCACTTACCACATGCTGTTCATTATTTACAGACAAAGTCCATCCTCCTGTCTTTCTTTACAAACAGTTCAATGACGCGGTTGTGCAGAACATCCGTGCGTCTCAGTTCCAGCCAGAGGTCTCCCCAGTTGTGTTTCTGGAATATGTTTTGATGCGTTTGAGGCTGAAAATGTCCGCTCGACAGAGGCAGTCGATATTGGGATCGTCACCGCCAAACATGCCAGTGCGTAAAGTTGACGCAGCAAGGCCGAGATCCTCCTTGTGGCACCACAGTGGCTAATCTGTGGCAAGCGTCAGTCAGGTGTCACAACAGCAGCAAGCGAGCGGCACTCGTTCGGCACCCGTCAGGAAGCTGCCGAGCTGAGCGGACGGAGCCACATTTTCCTTATACTTGCTGAGTGGAGGCTATTAGCTGTGGGGTTAGCCGACCCTTTGATACGATTTCCCGCTTTTCCTGAAATTTCCTCCTCGAGAAAGGTTTTGTAAGCAACTCCGCCACCAAATCTGCTTCTCCTCCTTCAGCCATTGAGTGTTAAAAACACAGCTAGGTAAAAAACAAAATGAATCGACACCAAGCAAATTGCTAAAAATGTCATAACTTCTCTTACATATGTTTCAAGCTGAACTCTTACCAAACACTAAGATCTGCTAGCTAGCTTTGTGTTTGACAAAAGTCATGCTGGCCCACTGACCAATCACAGCGTACGTTAATGCAGACGTACTTAGGAGGCTACCTGGGTAGCAGTGGAACGTCAAAGAATACGCCCAACATGTCAAACTAAAGATCTGATTGGTTGAAGACTATAACAATCAACAACATCGTCCCCATTCACTTAACCTGCAAAGGCTCTCGAGCGGGCCTCGGGCCTCTCTCCTTACATAGAGACATCGGGGCTGAATCTGATTGGATAAAAGCTCTCCTTAAAACAAGCTGTGCTGGAAGCAGAGCAACAGAGGAAGACAGGAGCTGTGCAATGAGAAAATAAGATAATGGGAAAAAAAATGATAAAATATGTAGTGCATTTGTGAAAAATGATTAAATGATAAAATAGCTCTAACTTTGTGATTGTGTTTAGGCCAGCAGAGAAGACTTAGCTGGCCCTGACGGCCCACCACTGCATTTTTGACACCACAAACAAAAAGCAGTCTTATCTCTCTGATGATCTCAGTATGATGTTGAGTAGACTCATGGTTTTGGTAAAAGGGGCAGAGGTTTGACAGGTAGTTTTGTAGATCGAGTCTGCCCCTTCACCCTGGCGCCCCAATCACTCTGTTGTTTCTATGAAGCGATAGCTCCTCTCAAGTTCAACACTGTTTATCATAAATACAGAAATGAGAGAAGCAATATCTCAATTGAACCTCAATCATACGTCTTACTGCTGGTACTATTGGTGTGTATATAGATTGTGACGTCTTCGGGCAGTAGCAGCCACACTGTCAAAATGTTCTAGTCCTGTATTATACTCCTGTTGACTTGGATCCAAGTTGATTGTTTCAGACTTGTGTTATCCAAACATTTCCAATAGATGGCATAATTTCCCAAATGTTTTTATCTAACGAAATATTCTGCATAACTCCACGATTGCGTCCACGATGGAGCACCATGTCAGCGATGGATGGCTTCATTTCCCCCGTAAAGGTTTTAATTCTACATTGTTGCCTTTACAGTATGTGGAGTTGTGTAACAATTCGTGGCACTGCCATAATTCGTCTGTGGGCAACCCCAAAATACTGATGCAGGAATAGTATTTCAATGTTTCAGTCGGCCGGAACTCATCAAAACTCAGGTTTAGACCGACAGGATTCTGGACATCTGGTCTCCGTCCTCAGAGGATCTTTGTCTCTTTCAGTCTGGTTGAACCATTGAACAGCATTTCTTTAGACGTGGACATTCGTCCTCTCACACATCTGAATATTTGATCTACATTGAGCTGTATAAATAAATATAAATACGTTTTATTATAGTCTCACCTTCAGGCTCCTCGTCAGCCTGGTCCATCTCGAGTTTAGTCAGTAAACTCACGAACCATTCAAAGGACTTCTGGTCTCTGTTGATCCAGATGAAGTCCACCTGCAAAGGTCCAGAACGGACTCATCAAACACATTGTTATCTATCCTCCAACCAAACCTCCAACCGATCCTCCCGTGTGGTGAGACTTACTTTGCGTAGCTTCATCTCGCTGTCTTTGATGTTTTCACACCAGGAGTAGTTACAGCTGGGACAGTTCTGCTTCCTCATGCGGTACCTGAGGAACACCAACACATCTCATTAAGGTTCAGGTCCGTCTCCTCATGTGGACCAGCTCAGACCCCCCCAGACTAGAGTCTGGTATCTCACCGGTACATGATGCTCTGCAGGATGGAGGCGAACGGTGTGATCCCGATACCGGCCCCAATCAGGACCGCATGCTCCGAGGCAAAGATCTGTCTGGTAGGGGTCCCATACGGTCCGTCTACGTAACACTGACACACACACGCACACGCGCACACGCACGCATGCACACACACACACACACACACACACACACACACACACACACACACACTCACACACACACACACACACACACACACACACACACACACAAAAACATCCAGGTATTTCATTACATTTACAGTATAAATACATATATGATATACATTATCACTACATTAATATATAATATATATATATAGTGTAGTGTCTATATTAATATAATGATCCTGACATTAATATTATATGTATATTAGTGCTGGGCAAGTTAACGAGTTATTATTGCGTTAACGCGTTAATTAATTAATGCCGCCAATTATGTTATTGCGCGTTAACGCATTATTATTTGTAAAGTGCGTTGCTCACTGGCAGCGGTGGAGGAAGTCTTCAGACTACGTTGATGCAGCGTGTGGGAGAAGTAGAGATAAACTAAAGCAACACAAGCTAACAGATGCTACAGAGAAGTGGAGACAAACTGCAGGTTAGTGTTGTGGAAGATGTCGGTCTGAGGAACGTTCTCAAGGTGCGTTCACGTCACATTTGGTGTGAACGCACCTTTAGGATCTCAACGAGTGACGTCACGTATGAGCCTCAAGACGCACCGTCACCAGAAGAAGACACGAGTTGTGTTAAAGGAGAGGACGACTAAAGCGACGGCGTTACAATGTGCAGCAGCTGCTGCTCTCACTGGAGACTACTGGACATCGCTGGGTCACCTTCATCACCTCTGAGTTACAGCATCGTAGTGATGAAGAGTAGAGCTGGGTCACCTTCATCACCTCTGAGTTCCAGCATCGTAGTGATGAAGAGTAGAGCTGCATCACATGCTCTGACTGTCATGAAGACACAACACACACATGTAGATGGAACGTGTGGAACATGTTGTTCCTGTTGCACAGCAGTGGAACGTTTCACACACAGTCACACACTGAGCACAGATAGTGAAGAGATAGAACTGCTGCTGTGTGAAGAGAACACTGCTGCTAACAACAACCTGATGTGTTTAAAGTGTTTACACACAATGTTATTCACCTTTAGTTCATAGAGCAGCACTTTCAAAATAAAAGTGCACAATACACTACTTTATAATTCATTATTGAACTCTGCCATAACAATGAGATTAATGACGATTAAACATTGTAATCGTTGCCCAGCACTAAT